CCCCCCAGTGAGACTGGACTTATGACGGGACCACCCTACTGAGGACATTTTTGTTGCGTTACTATTATGGTATATAAAAACATGTGCTTTTCGCTTGAAGTTATTTTAGCAGTCTGAGCAAAATATTTTAGTCGTCGGAACAAAACATTTTAGTAGTCTAAACAGAGCACAACTCCCTCGGTTTGATTGGTAATTCTTTTTTCCAGTTGTGAATCATATCTGTGAAGCACATATCAGAATATTAGGAAATGAACAAGCTTTGATAAGGACAAATTTCATTGACTTTTGTCGTACGTTTCTCCTTCTATTATGTTTTTAGAGCCAAACGTCTCTCAGAATAAATTTATCCCGTTATGGCTATAATCAGGAGAAGTCTCTTCATTTACTGGTGAGTTCAAAGAGCGAAAGGCAGATTTCCTGATGTTTTAAACTCTTTGTTTCTAAACACACTTGTTTCTAAAGGCACTGATACCATGAAACGGCACTTCATCTATCCCTTCTTGCATGCCTGCAGATGTGCTTTCATGCATACATGCATGCAGACACTCATTATTTCATTTAATTTTTCATTTAAAAATTTACATGTTTATCCTTACGCGCGTCCGTCCTTCGGTCCGTTCGTTCGTTAATTCCCCAATTCATTCGCTCTTTTATTCATTCATCTATTCATTCATTCAAATTCCCTCTTCTTGTTTTCCTCGAAGGTTGTAAGCTTTCCCACTAATTTGACCGGCGTTACAATGCTGTCATTCTTGAACGATAAAGGTAGGTTCTATCAATTTGAAATAACGAAGAACGATGAGTAAACAGAGGGTGTCAATGAGGTGATGGCTTTAACAGCTGAGGGTTCACATTTTGTCCCTTTTACGGCTTACGTCAAACCACACATGATACAAAATGACACCCTGTACAAGGAAAGATTTACACGGTTAACTGTTTATACGACTAACGGTGAAAATCTGGCAATTTCGTACGCTTAAAGGATAATGGTTACCACAATGAGACCGTCGGATCGAGTCAGCATTTTTACGGTAAAAGTTAAGATGGTTTAAAACTCCTAACAATTCAAAGCAAGAAGTGGAAGGGGATGCCGTTCCCATTACAGTACTCCTTTCT